TTAATTATAAATATCATTTCTTAAAGAAACTTAATTTTCTATAAAGACTGGATTCCATTATTAATTATTTTTTCTGCAAATTTAATTAAAAATAATTTGTTATAAAAATAAAAAAATATTTTGTCAGTAATATATATTTTTATACACAATGTTAAAAGTTTTATTTTAAAAAAATTTGTATTATTTAGGACTATAATTATATATAGATTTGCTTTAGAGATTCATCATCTATCCTTTTTTATCCACATCTATCCACATCTTCTATCCTTTTTTACTTGGGATCTTGCACCAACGTGACATCTTGTGTGACATGCCTTAACTATGACATCTTGATCACAGATTTTTTGATAGAATACAATGGTCGTGAAATCACCTTATATTCTTACACCGTGGGGGGGAGCTAGAAACAGCTTGGAAGCGAGGGGCGATGAAGGAAGGGGAGAGCATGATGATCTCATCGACAAACAGTAGCTGTCTCTCTCTTTCAAAGTTCTTCCTTTTCTAACTGTTTCAAACTCTGTCACTCGCTTGCATTTATTCTCCAAAGAACTTATGTACGCATTAAATTTTATAATACTGCCAAAAAAAATCGCAAGCATGTAGGTAATAAGAGGAAAGCTGAAGATAATCAAAGAAGAGTCGCCAATAAATATAAAAAATTATTAATTAATTTAACGCAATTAACAGATTAATACAACGTATATATATATATGTGTATTTTTATTATTATAGATACTTATAAAAATTTTATTATTATACTTGTGTACTTATTATATTTATTATACTTAATTTTTCTTATAGATACTTATAAAATTTTATAATCACAATGTTGCCGCATATTTAATGATCCCTAATATATACCCCATCATATTTGTTTTAAAGAATTATTTTAAGATTTCAACAGAAACATTTCAATAATATTTCATTAGCAAATATTTGAAAAATGTTAACACTTTGTAAATTTTATCATATAAATATTCACATTTGCAATGTTGAAACATATATTACAATTTCATTATTTAAGTTTGTATCATAATAAATTTGTGTATGATGCTTTTTATATTACCCTAGAATTGTACTTACATTTATGAATTTCAGTTACAATTTTTTGACAATTTTTGAGGTTTTCACAATTAAATATAAAAAATAAATTTCTTTATAGTATTTCTTT